ATATATATATATATATATATATATATATATATATATATATATATATATATATATATATATATATATATATATGTATGTATATATATATATAAAGAGAGAGAGAGAGAAAATAGTATATTGATGTATGCCTAATAAAGTAGATTATTTTTATTTTATTAATGATAATTTTATTCCATCGGTTTTCAATTTGGAATAATGATTTTCATATTTTCAAGATTTTATATATCTATTTAGTATATAATATATGTATAATATATATTAGGCCAAGTATATAAATATATCTTTAAGCTTGTTAGGTTTTCCCCCAGGTACCTCAATTATGTTATTTTATTGAATCGTTGAACCTCCAATTATTTGTTCCATTGAAACACAGTTGGCTGATGTGGAACCAGATTTTGTGAGGGGTATTGATAGTGGATACATATGTTGTTCCAAAACTCATTAGTCCAATTGATAGTGAAACTGTTTGAGAATAATTGTGGTTTACTTCAAGTCATTTGAACACATTAGGATACAAATGAGACTAACACACAATTTTTTTTATTCCTTCAATCAAAATTATTACAATACCAACACAATTGAAGGCATTTACAATAGAAAATTCGATCAAAATCAGCCAACAATGTTTAAAAGAAATAAATTATGAATGATTCAATGATTCAATAGAAAAATGGTGTAGATAAGATACCTGAAAGAAAAAAGCCATCTATTTATGAATTCGGCCTATATAATACATAGTGAATGAATTTTTTTTATAAACCATATATATTGCCATTGAGAGGGAAATAACATTTGAAGAAAACGTCAAGGCCATACCTTCTTGACAGTTTGGATACACAGTCAAATCAAATGAATGCTCCAAAGATCTAGGGATAATTTCAGAGCCAACACACCCCTCGCCCCTCCCCTATGTTTAACCTTATACATTTACTTTTCTTGTGGTTTCAGATATCACCCTCATCTCCTTTTTTTATAAAATTTCTGTAACCAAACTTAAAATGATAAATCTTTCAACCACACTCCAAAAATACCCTTTTATAACATTAATATATTTATCTAATACTTCTATATGACTAATAACCTAAGCAATATTTCTTTCCAGTTTTTAATACTATATTTGAGTTTTATTTTTAGCTTGAGCTTGGATTGATAATACGAGAAATGATAAGTATAAATCAATAGGAATGCAACCTGCATACTTGATGTCCAAATATTTGTATAGACAATAATTTTTCCATTTGACATGCGATGATAAATTTTTAGTTTGATAATGTTTTAGACTTGAGAAAAAAATTATGTTTATATAACATCATTCAAGTAAATACAGATTAAGATCGTAGAAACATGAGCTTGTGTTATAGCTACACCTAATTCCAGATCGGTTTATGCAAAAACTATAAATAAAGGACCAAGATCCCCTTGTTTGCAACAAATTTTAAACATACGGAAAATAAATAAATCATACAAATAAAATATGAAGAAACGTGATTTTATTCATCAAGATTGTGAGTACAAATCTGTTCCTCCCTTGATTCTACTCTCTAATATGATTCATCCATGATTCGAGGGCCGTTAGTGGCGTATTTCTCGAACTAGGATGATTTAGATTTGACCTCTCTATATGAATAATCCATCAATTTGTGGAGTATTCGAGATCTTGATCTCTTTGTGGATTTCTCGAGATGCCTTTTAAGAGAATTTAGTACTTTTTTATTGGCATAAATTAGGGTTTAGGGTTGAGTAGCCTCCAAGAATCCATATTTGAGTTGAACACAATTTATAGAGTCCCAACTCGAATTGAACGCATCTTGTAGAGTCCCACAAAATTTCAATGTCTACAAATGCCCCCTGCTTCAAGGCTTGACGGAGAATAGACTTGTGAAACTCAAAGACGAGGCTTGAAGTACTCATTCTTCCACCTTTGCAGCTTCAGATTTTCAGATTTGATTTAAGAGAGAAGAGATGAAGGGCAGATTTGGTCCCACTGGGCGTGCCAATTTGTTTTGCAACAAATTTTAACCATATGGAAAATAAATAAACCATACAAATAAAATATGAAGAAACGTGATTTTATTCATCAAGATTGTGAGTACAAATCTGCTCCTCCCTTGATTCTACTCTCTAATATGATTTATCCATGATTCGAGGGCCGTTAGTGGCGTATTTCTCGAACTAGGATGATTTAGATTTGACCTCTCTATATGAATAATCCATCAATTTGTGGAGTATTCGAGATCTTGATCTCTTTGTGGATTTTTCGAGATGCTTTTTAAAGGGAATTTAGTACCCTTTATATAGGCATAAACTAGGGTTTAGGGTTGAGTAGCCTCCAAGAATCCTTATCTGTGTTGAACACAATTTGTAGAGTCCCAATTCGAATTGAACGCAAAATTTCAATGTCTACACCCCTACAAATAGAAAAGATCATTCATACATAGCATAGTTCAAGCGAATCCACTCAAAACTTTAATGAATCATGACCGGCTATCATATTAGCAAATAAACATATTCTTGAGCTTAATGCTCGAAAACAATAAGGGATTAGCTCGAGGAGTACTAAAAAGGGTGGTAGTGGCAATGGGATTCCCGCGGGTACTAAGAAGCTTAAAAAATGAAGCCCATTTTTTTAAAATTCCACCATAGTAATACCAATAAAAATCAAAATGAAAGACCCAAAGCAATAATAAAATGACTTGTAATCGTGAAGCTATAAGGTAATCAGGGGATTACAATATATATACTGTAACAATATTTCCTGCACATAATTACCAAACAATATTTCCTGACCATAAACAATATTTTTATAATAAATTTTCAATAGTCCTTTTTTTACTTTGCATATGTATTAACTGTAAAAATTACCACTAAATTTTAATATGTTTAAGAAGTTTCGCCAATTAGCAAGTTCGATAGTTTACAAGAAATAAATAAATGGGCTTAAGTCATTTATGACCCCTTAAAGTTGTCCGCATGATTTACTTAGACACCTGAACTAAGACCTGTACCTATTGAACATCTCTACACTTTCGAATTTGAACAATTTAAATATTTTTTTGATAATAAACTAATAAAATATAGAGTGTGTGAAATACACACGCGATGACATGACATTTCAACGAATTAAATAACGACATCTGTTACTTTTTAGTCCAAAAATATTATTTAAAAAATGTTATAAAGTAAATGAAAAAAAAGATTTATTTTTAAGTAGAAAAATAAGAGAAAAAGAAAAAAGATTGTAACCCCACCTCTGCTATTCCATCTGAACCCAAAACGTGACTCACCCATGTTACATTATTTTAAAACATTTTTGGTACTTCTGCAATAGAGAATCAAAAGAAAAAGAAGAAGGATTGAAAAATTTATGGCTATTTTTGATGGCTTGCGAAGGAATTAGCCGTCAAGTTTTCTAACACGTTATTTCTCGTCGATTTCTTAATAATCAAAACAAATTGTTGTCACGATTGGGAAGAACCCCCTAGAAGTAATATGACTTACTTGACTTCTCGAAGGTCTTGTACAAGCTCATAGACATCATTCATCGCATTATCATAGAAATTTAGTAGAAAATTTAAAACTTTTCATAGCACATCAAATACTAGAACATCACTTCATTTATAAAATCATAAGTACATAGAAATCATGCATCATGCCTTTATAAAGAATCTTCGTAAACATTGTCACAATAGCAGAATATAGTCCATATACAATCCATAGACATGAATACTACTCTTCATAACACAAAGCCAATTATCTCATTTAAGACACATTCCACACTTTCATAGCATTAACATTCCATTTTGCCTTTAACTCTTTTCTCTAAAACAAACCTTAAGTAGTACTTAGTGCAATGTATGAATAGTGTCTCATTCCACCATTCATACCAAAGTACCGCCTTAAGGTCACCAAAGTGCACATTCATAAAACCTTCATTACTTTAAGCGTACACATTCATAAAGACATAATATATCATGAAATACAT